GGTGGGGGGGGGGGGGGGGGGGGGGGGGGGGGGGGGGGAACCGTGGATGGCTCAGAATTCGTGAATTGCCGTCCCAAAAGTCTCTTTCTTGCCATTTGGGTTTAATACACGAACACGTTTGTGCCTTCGGTTCCGCACTGAAGAAAGAAGATGGGGGTTGTCAGGCGTCAAGACAAGTCGTTTTTCTTGTGGAGACCCAGCCCCTCGCTCCCGGGGTCCCCGGTGCCCCCGCGTCGGGGGACAGGGGGGACCGGGGGGGGGGGGGGGGGCGCTACTGTCTTGCCCGACGGTACTTGGACTACTCACTCGCTGCACGGCCATAGGTTTGGTGCCGCGCGGGCCCTTCCTCGCCCCCGTACTTGACGGACCACGTAGACCTTTCTGCAGATGTAAAGTATATGTGAATCCTTAAACATCCGTCTGTTGGTTCTGTGTTGTTTCACCCCAAGAAACACTCTTTGCCGACGCGAAAACCTGATTTTTTTTTGTGTCTTGTTTCTTGTGTGGGCTGGGTGTTTTTCTTTCTTGCGCTGTTCCGTGGTTAAGGGCGAGCTACCGCCGACGATAAACTACGAAACGCCGGACCCCGAGTGCGATCTCCGCATCTTCAAGGAGAAGGTTAAGGTGGACAGAGTCAAGGGGGCCCTCAGTTCGAACCTGGTGAGGAAAAAAAAAGAAGAAAAAAATGTAGAACATGCAAACAGCAGCGGTGATGAGAGGCCGGCAGAGATGGCAACAGAGGCACAAGGGCTACATCTAGTTATTTCGCAGCCTGCGTTCGACCCGAGCGCGCCCGCAGTACCCATCGCGATCCGGTCGACGTCTCTGGATGAACGTGTTAGCTTCCGGTTGATTGATTCTACACGTGACGTAGAGAGGCGCTGACCAATGACTGGGGTATGGGTCGCCGCCTTTGTGCTGTTTTATTGTCGATCAGCGTCTCTTGTTTGTGCGATTAGGGGGGTGAGGTCAGACGCCATACCCGGGAATGGAGGGCGGACGGGGCCTGGAGTATGGAATTGCCGCCGGTGTGTTTGTCCGCTGGCCGTCACCGTTGATGTGGGGGCGATACCGATGCCGATGCCGATGCCGACGCCGGTGGTTGCTTCTTGTAGTGCCGCTCGGTGCGCTTCCCTTGCGGGGGGTGACCCCGGCTATCGTTGCTGATTACGTTTGTCGTGCTTCGTCTTCCTCTGTCTCTCGGTCTCTCTGTCTCCCCCCCCCCACCACCCCCCCCCTTTTTTTTTCTCCCCCCCTTTTTTTGGTTTTCCCTCTCCCCAAC